TTTATTAAAGAAATAAATTCTAATTTATGTTAGTTTATTACAATGGTAAAGTCTAATTTATGTTAGTTTATTACAATGGTAAAGTCTAATTTATGTTAGTTTATTACAATGGTAAGGTCTAATTTATGTTAGTTTATTACAATATTTGACTTATCAGAAATAATTAAATTTTTGTCTGTTTGTTGTATTTCTTCTTCTTGCGTCATCCCTACCATCTTAACTGCATTCTTTTGGAAGGATTGATTTTAGTCATCCCTACACTTACTTCTTTTTGAAAAGTTTTTTTTTCACATGTATAAATTAGACTTTATCACTGTAGTAAACTAACATAAATTAGAATTTATTTCTTTAATAAACTAACATAAATTAGACTTTATCACTGTAGTAAACTAACATAAATTAGAATTTATTTCTATAATAAACTAACATAAATTAGACTTTATCACTGTAGTAAACTAACATAAATTAGAATTTATTTCTATAATAAACTAACATAAATTAGACTTTATCACTGTAGTAAACTAATTATCATTTCCGTATACGTTTAACTGTATTGAAAAATTTTGTTTTCTTGTAAAATTATTTGCACTAAAACGATTTTAAACTACAAAACAGTTCAAATACATATAACCAATTAAAATTTTCAACATTTTTTGGACTATCCAAGATATTGTCACTAGCTAGTCTAACTTATTTATATATTATATAAATTTATCCTTCAGTATAATAAAAGATAAATACACAATACCGTGTAAAGTAATCTATATAGATATAATAGTACTGTTGTCTGTTGCATATCCATGTAACTACTTCGCAGGGTGTAGATGGATCTTCACCAAAATTGGTTTGGAGATTCATTAGGTCCATACAAGGATACATACAAATTTTCAGTTTTACGTTTTGCGCGTATATTGGGCGTTTTTTACCACTACTTCGCCCCCTGTTGACGGATCTTCACCAAATTTGGCATGAAGGTTTGTTGGACCAATGCGGAGAAACATGCAAAGTTGCGGTTTCACTTTTCGGGTTTTGCAGATTTTATGGGCGTTTTTTTTACAATTGCATATAAGGGAAGCAACTTTTCATATCCTAAGATATCCTTTCATTAATCATTATAATACATAACTTCTCCAGGGGACGGGTACTCCAGCTAGTTTACAATAAAGTTTAAATTTGTATGGATACTAGTTTCAACATTTCACAACGTTGGACTAAAGTGGACATTCGAAATGTCGAAATTAGTATCCTTATAGAGCTGGTATTGTTCCGCTAGCGTGCATTTATACTTTATTGCAAATTACCCAGGAGTGTTTGTACATATTGCGTTTAATGGTTAAAAACTGATTATTGAAGAACAAATGACATATTTTCTGCGAAATGATACACAAGATGTTTCTATAAAGGCATATCACACTGGCCTATTTTTTTCTCTATTTTTTACTTATTACTTTAAAACAAATACTATTGATTCATTGGCAAATTTTAAAATATGCAGGTTTTTAATAAGCATTTAAAAATGTAACAGATTATTTAAAGCAAATCGAAATAAAATTATAAAATGTTAATGTGCCGGTAAGAAATTACTAAAACATATCTCCATTGTTATGTAAGTTCATGACTCCAGTTGATTCTTATCTACTTTTTTCAGCGTAAGTCCATATGTTTGAGCATATCCGTTTTGTAACTTTTTATTGAGTTATTTACATAACGTTTGTAATATCTATAATAATGGCTAACATTTTTTTCTTTTACGCAATGTAGGCAAGTTCAAAATCTAGAAGCTCGCGTCACCACGGATTTACATATAATAATGCAACATTTGTCACAGCTCGTCGAACTTTCTACTGTTTCTTCCGCCGTGTTACCAACAGATGGCGACACTGCTACTCGGTCTGCTACAGAAATGGCACTTCCTCAGTCGTTACCTAGACCAAGTTCTCTTCAAAGTCGACTTGCTTTAGATCGGGTAAAAAGTAGACCTTTTAGAAAAGCTGTCAGTTTACAGTGTACCCCTTCACCTTCGGAGGACCACAAAGTTAAGCTTTCGTCACGAAGCCTGGACTTAAGCAGGTGAGAAAAAAAAATGCTTACTTTAATCCAATTTTCGATTTTACAAAACACCCTCTTTTAGCATAAGGAAAGTTAACCATTTTCTACTATTTAATGCGAATTTCTGTATGTAGTAGTTTACTAAAATCATCGTAAATAAGTGTTAGGTTTTTAATATGTAAAAATAAAACAAACAATAACAATGAAATATTTTGTGACTTACAAATCATAGTGCACTACCAATTACAAGACCAGTGGAAGCACTACTTGATGGCAGTGGGGATTATGACACAAAGTTTAGTTAACATACTTGTAAGAAACATATACAAATTGGTGTATATTTAAACTGTGGCTTGTTTTCATTATCTTTTTGGAGAAATCTTCACGTATGCAACTGGAAATGTTATTCTAATCTTTGCATATAATAATGATGATATTGACGTCACTGTACTCATCATTGTGGCCGAGAAAAGCCGTTTCTCAAATACCCATACATGTATTAGTTTATAAACTTCATGCTTCAACAGATTTTAAGTTTGCATTGTAAGTCATTAGACATAATTTTATGCAATGCATAAAGCAAATTAATTAATTGCTTCGTCCTTTGATTTAGAATTAAATTTCTCTCATATATGTGTTTTGAACGAAAGGTTTATGTATTGTATAATCAGAAGAGTCAATGGTTTGGGTTGGAAAAGTGTAACATTAATTTTGTAGACAACTTTTCAATAATTATTTTTGTTTCATTTACAGGTCTTTAGAAGAGCCTTTGCTTGAAGACGATACTCACATAATATCATCGGAACTACCCGAGACTCAGTGTTCTGATCAGCACATCAAAGCGCCCTCTACTGTGTATGAAGAAACTCAATATCGGCCTGACAACTTCAATCAGGTGAGCTTATTAAGCTTATCAATTTTAGCAGATTTTATGGCATGCTTTTATAGCTAACAAAAGCACGTTTTGGGTTTCGCTGCCTTCTTTTAATTGTTAATAATTCTGTCAATGAAACACGTTTTAACAAATCTGACATGACTTTATAAACTTTATGAAGCTTAGTTGCCCTTGTGCACATAGAATGAAAAGTTCACAGCTTCTGCAGTATCACTTGTTTTATTCGGTTAGCAAAAAATAAAATATAATAAAAAAGCTAAAAAAGAGAACAAACTTGACAAATTATGAGCAGAAAACAATCAAAAGGAAAACGCAATCAGACATATACAAAAAAAAATCACATTAACATCCTTCTTCATATCACGTAATAAGTGTAAGGATTACATTCCCTTCGTCTCTCAGTGTATGTGTATATATATAATATACACTGAAAAAAGATAATTACGTTATTATTATTAATGGCATTGGCCTGATTTTTAAATATTTATAGACAATAAATCTTAAGAAATGTAATTCGCCATCACAATATCTATGTACTTCTGAGGGCACTGTTTTCAGGTGAAATATTATCATGTACAAAACAGAGTAATTGAAATATACTCACCTAAAATGATCCGGTATTCAGTTTAATCTCAATAACTTTAAAGAACTTGACATCTATATGTTCTAAATTCGTTGTAATGTTTCTTGTTCGTGTAATTGTTAAATTGTGATATTGATTTGGAAAATAAAATGTCACTTGAATCCCTTTGACGGTGCCAGTGAAAAGCAAAACATCAAAAAAAGATGTTGAGAACACAATTTGCTTTATAATGAACATTGTTATTTGTTTGACAATAGAAGATGCTATTATTGTTACGGATTAATATGTGATTTTTAGATAGCTTTAGTGATGCTAAAGGTATATTTTCCGTCTGGCGCCAACTTTTCGCACATAAAAGTTTTAAAATTCTGTTTATATAACAGCACTGTAAATAATACTGCACCAGAAAAAAAGCCCGCTAAATGGATTATAGCAATATAAGTTCTATTTATGGTGAAACAGAGGGCACTTATTGATAATTTCACATTTAAGTTTTCAATAGGATGGTCGTTTCTTTATCACAGTTTTAACTACTAATTCAGTGGATGAGGCTAATAGTAATACTGAAATTACTTTGATCAACATACGCAAGATATACTAGCAAAGACTCTTTAATATGTTGTGGTATTCAGATGCAACAGGTAAGTATCAAGTATCTGCAAAACACAGCAGACATTTTAATAAAACTGGTAATAAAATTGCAAAACGATAAAACTAGTGATAAAAGTACAAAACGATATAATTGGACATGATACACAATTAACTACATTATTAACCCAAAGTTAAATAACCTAAGATTACAGGAAATAAATAAAGTACAAACCCAGTATAATGTTACAAAGAAAATTAAGTTACATTATAAATATAAGTGCAGAGTAAGTGAAGTTTGGCTACATCGCAAAAATAACTCCTGATAAACAGAATAAAATTACACAATTGAACATAGAATTTGAAATTATAAGACAAAATAAATGTAACCTAAAATTGAATAAAAGAAAATGCAAAGGTACCTGTAAAGTTACACACAATGTTTATACAAACTTTCAAAGTGTACACAAAACTCCCAGGGACTAGGGAATGAAAGGTGTCTTCTGCATGTCTTTAAGTAAGCAACCTCATCCTGAAGATTACAACTTTGTTTCACAAGTTTCTGGTTTTTGTTACTTTTCTGGTGTTACTACCAATTACGATCTCTATGGCACAGTGCACAAACCTCTGTTTACCTGAAGTTCTATGAAGTTTTCAGCAACCAATTGTTGGAAGTCTTGGGGTTTACTTTATGACTTTCACACCAGAAGTCCCCCAGTGGCACAGCGGTATGTCTGCGGACTTACAACGCTAGAAACCGGGTTTCGATACCCGTGGTGGGCAGAGCACAGATAGCCCATTGTGTAGCTTTGTGCATAACTTAAATAAACAAACAAACAATCACTCCAGAAGGTGATACTTTCTTGATCACCTGACAAGAGGTGGCCACTTCTTTGTTTCTTATCACTGGGAGCACCTTCTTTGGATTACTGATTTGTGATATTGCTGGACATGTAGATTAATACCCATCCTATACGACACTAGCGACACTACTGTGGAGCACTCCTCCACTAAACATTTGTAGACTATAGCTTAAAAGCCAGTGAAGAATCCTTTCATGGCACACGATCCATATGGCTAGGAGGAGGAGGTCGGTGTGGAAGTCGTGTCTGTGATTACTGACATTGTAGTTGTTGCCTCAGTCTTACATTGGCTGGCATACTTCCATCAGTGTCACTTGCACAGAGTCTATCTGCATTGCTTCCATCTATACTATCGAGGTGTGTGTAGTGATGAAAGGATTAGCGAACTAGTGAAGTACAATGATAAGCTAGATATTACCCTTCATTTTTCAAGAATTGTGTAGTCAAACCACTGGAATATCACAGTTAAGAGTAAGATAGTCACTGTCCAATATTCACAGTTTTATATATCAAAATCAAAGGTTGAAAATGCCAGGTGAATTCAACCAGAGATGAAGCAGACGATCAGCTAGCATTGTAAGGTTACGTTTAAATGCTCAACTAGGTCACAACATAACCCTTTCTAAGAAAAAGTTTCTTTGTTTGTAGTTAAGCACAAAGTTACACAATGGGATATCTGTGCTCTGCCCATTACGGATATCGAAACCCAATTTCTAGCGTTGTAAGTCCACAGAATACCGCTGTACCACTGGGGGGGGGCTAAGAAAAAGTCGTCAACACAGATTTAACATAAATTCTTTATTTTACAGTAATTATAAGGAATGCAATCTCCTATGCATTACACGAATGCACATGTTCCAAACACTATTAAACACTTAGTCCCCAACAGAGTTGAATCTGAGTGAAATTATGTGCATTAAAGTGCTTCTCATCCAATTGGTATAGGACGTCAAACATTGGACTGTCCAGACTCATCATCAGACACTGCAATAACTATCCCTGATTCCATTCATTCTAAGCAACAAGTTGCCTAAAATTATTGAGAAAATAGTCCACATCTTCTTTCACTTTCTTTAAAAACCAGCAAGTTACCCTACTTCACATCGTGACCACAGTGAAACAGCATCGCAAACAGGTAATTGCTACCTGTGTCTATGCCATTGTGCAGTTGAGGCACTGTCAGTGTTTACAGGAAGCCCTTAGCCTCCTCCAAATTTCTATGAACATGCAAATCCTCATGGATACGGTGTCCTGGGGTGAGATGAACTAGAATGAAGAGACGTACAAAAATATGCATCCTTATTCAATTCTTCATCAACCACTGCTGCCAAAAACGGACTTAGATAATAGTCAGTGTGTCTTGCTGGCCTGGAAGGCTCCTAACTGTGTCACATGTCCACAGTATTGTAGCAAGATGCTTGCTGTTCTACATGGTGGCACCACAAATCCTCTTGATAGACTTAGTCTATGAAACACATTTCACTTCTCTTTCTGGTCAATGATAACTGAAACCAGAATCTGGCAATTGCCTGGGCTAGTCAGCGATAATTGAGTAAAGGGCTTTTTTTTAGTCCTTGTTTCATTCTCAGATCACGTTGTCGCCTCATCTACAACTCTTCTCCCATCTCCATCGTAAGCTCTATGTGGTCTCAGAAAGTACCCTTCCATAATGATCACAGTTTACAGCTTTACAGCAAGCAGAGAGTCAAGTAAGACAAAAAAAGCATATTCAAAATCAAGCTTGCTATAACAAATCCTTGGTCACAGGACCAGAATATAGCATAGTAGCTTAGTCTGGGGTTTTTGGGTACTACTACAACAGTGAAGTATCAATTATTTATAATATATAGCAAATCCTAATATAAGTACAGGATCAAATGAAAATAGGGACCAAAGGAAAAGAAGTGAACACGAGTCAATGAATAATACATCTCTATTCATACAACAAAGAAATGGATAGCTTGCTATCTTCTTTATTCTGTATTAAAAACTGCATCTGATTTCTGTAATGTAGGAGCAAGTTTACACCACATAACGTCAAGAATAAGGGTCATCATGGGATATAATATTGTTATGTCTTAATAAAAGTTCCTAGTATTATATTCTACAATCGTAAGTTATCTATATTAACGATTATTCTCATTATATATTGAGAGGAAATAAACCGCAAATCGTATCAATTTGTACAAGTCTTTGTACCACCCTTTCGTTTGAGTAAGACCTAAGTTCCAGAGGAATCGTGGCACAGAAAAAGGATCATGCACGTATAATACCTTACTGAAAAATCGTTGGAATACGTAACATTAGTCTAAGTAAAAAAATTAGTGTAAGTTTATTAAATTCCATACTCCAACTAATTAAACGTGGGAAGATTCAGGTGAACGTTAAATAAATTTTTGTGTTTATGTTCTACACAAATATGTAGGAAAATATCACCTTAATGTGCCAAAATAAAGCTATGCTCTTTTCTACTTATGGAAAGGTGAAATGTTGCAGTTATTTTATCGGTTATAAAGCGTAAAATCCTGACATCAGAGGTGTAAAATCTTAAAAAATAAAATTTTCAAAGTTTCTAAAGTGGTGTAAAATCCTTAATATTTACCTCTTTCTGGTATATTCTACTCTGTCATATTACTAATAAGAATCCTTAATAAGGAAAGGACATATAATATGATAGCAACTTAACGTCGAGCAAAAATTAAGTACTAAGGTGAACAATTATATAAATCACACAGACAGAGAATATCGTTAAACCTGTATCACACAGACATATAATATCGTTAAAACTGTATCACACAGACGGAGAATATCGTTAAACCTGTATCACACAGACAGATAATATCGTTAAAACTGTATCACACAGATAATATCGTTAAAACTGTATCACACAGACGGAGAATATCGTTAAAACTGTATCACACAGACGGAGAATATCGTTAAACCTGTATCACACAGACGGAGAATATCGTTATAACTGTGTCACACAGACGGAGAATATCGTTATAACTGTATCACACAGACAGAGAATATTGTTAAAACTGTATCACACAGACGGAGAATATCGTTAAAACTGTATCACACAGACGGAGAATATCGTTAAACCTGTATCACACAGACGGAGAATATCGTTATAACTGTGTCACACAGACGGAGAATATCGTTATAACTGTATCACACAGACAGAGAATATTGTTAAAACTGTATCACACAGACGGAGAATATCGTTATAACTGTATCACACAGACAGAGAATATCGTTATAACTGTATCACACAGACAGAGAATATCGTTAAAACTGTGATAAATTGCACTAGGAAGAGACAGAAAAATCTACGATTGACATAATTTAAAAAAATTCCATCAACATTCATAAACATAAACATGTTTACACAAATATTACGCTACATCAAAGATTGTCGTTGTCGCTTCTACAAGTTCAGACTAAGTGTCTAAGTGGCACAGCGGTATGTCTGTGGACTTACAACGCTAGAAACCGGGTTTCGATACCCGTGGTAGGCAGAGCACGGACAGCCCATTGTGTAGCTTTGTGCTTACTTTCAAACAAACAAAGCTTTTAGTATAAAAAATATTAGTTTTATACCATTATAGGCTTACAATGCTTATTTGCTAAAGCTAAAGATTTTTCGAGTCCATATGGACTAAAACAAATTCGCTTGCGTACTTCTTAAAGGACAATACGCATGGAACAAGATTCATAAACACAATGAAAAATGTATCGGTAAACGTTTAATAATCATTCTGATGTCTTCTGAAGAAACAGATTAATTGTTACGTAGTTGCGAAAATTTGACGATCAAATTGAGGTCATTCCTAAAAACACAAATGTAAAGTACAAGTAAATATATATATTCAAATTTTTATTTCTCACCCCTAGCCTCAACCAAAGGTGATCCAGCCTGTTCAAAGTTCAAGAAATCAAGGTGATATACGACTTATGAAAGAAGAAGAACATTCATTAGCTCCACCTAGTGGTACTTCTAAAGAAATAGACTTAAAGTCCTCCAGTGATGATTTTAGTTCCAGGGATGAGGATGTAAAATCGGTTGTGGTTCAAGCACAAGGAAGAGATTCAAAGACTTCAGACGTGTAAATATGTATAGTTCGTTTACGTCTTGATCTATTTTTATATCGTTCCAAACCAGTTTAAGTTTTGTAAAGATTAGTTACTGACGTGTATATTCTCTTATGCCGAATAAGTATCTCGGTGGGTGACAACATGATCGATATGAGTAGAGAAAGAATGAAAAAGTAGATTAACATCGACCTCATTCGGATGTTGCTGCATCTTGGTGCTAAGATCAAGTACAAATGGTATTGAGGATAAGGTCGAATAGCAATTGACTTGGTTGACTTTTAGAAAAAAATAATTATCTCAATATTCAGACTTACAGGAAGTCAGGATGTGTTAGTGTGAATAATAATGTAGTCAGGAAAATCTTAGCAAAGCGAAGATCAAACTAAGTAAATGTTTTCAGGTTGTAGGCCAGGAAAACTAAGTAAATGTTTTCAGGTTGAAGTCCAGGAAAACTAAGTAAATGTTTTCAGGTTGAAGTCCAGGAAAACTAATTCTTCAGTCCCATAGAATATTTCAAATGACAAAGGCTTGGCCAAGAAGCGTCTTCAGATGAAGGGAAGTAAATGGTCAGTTAGTGGTGACTGCTAATGTAAAAAAAAAATGTTCAGCAGTGCCGGTTGGAAGGTTTATCAGAGACAACTTAAAAACTGAATCTCTTCAACGTTCTAGTTTCGCGTAGGTTGAAAATCATGCTGTCTTATTTCATGTGAAACTTTACTCTACGAATACGTGTCAGTTCAGCTGACGTACCCCTTTCGGAAACAAAGAGTTATCTTGTTATTTTTTTCTCGTGTGCACAAGAAACTTTAAAACCATATCCGAATGTAGCTGTAGTAGTTGAGTTTCTGTTTTGTTTTTGTGTGTGAGTGTGTTTCATATTTATGTTTATAGAAAAAAACAAGTTATTTGTACACGCTACGTTCTCAGGGAAACGGAGGAACACACATTTCGGTTATAGTATTTTGGATCTAAGGAATTATGCCTTGTAATAATTTGAATATCCTCTAAAGATTTGTTGTTTTTAGTTTAACGATTTTCTTGACCAGTTCAACTGGAAGAAACAAAGTTCAACTTTTTAAAGAGATCTCGGAAAAACGTTTTATTATATAAAAGTTCTTTCTCTCTCTCGGTTTAAAGTACCGATGATTTAGTGCTGTGCTTTTTTTCCTCATGGTGATACTTGAAAAAAAAACAACAACAAACAAACAGAACTGCTTCTTAAAACTACTATGGATAACATACGACGCTGCAGACGACGTTGTCACGGTAACCATCAGCGAGGAATAACACCTTAACAAAAATCTTATACACAGCAGCAATTAAGTGTTTTATAATTTCATCAGCCTTTTAACGCTCGTTGTACTGTAACGTTATTGTCGATCAAGACATTAACACCCGTTGCTCCATTAATAGGAGAGTACTCTAGCGAAGTTTAGAGAATTCAAAGAAAACTCTCGACTACAGTAGCCTTCGTTGATCAAAGACTTCAAAAAATTTAAATCTAGAGCAAAACAGCTTCCAAGATGATGAAAAGAAAGACGTTCTGGATAGTTGACTTAGTTTTTCATAAGAAAAGCTGTGATTCATAACAAGTCCACATTTCTAATGTATCTTCTTTTTAGAAATAGTTTTTTCACTTCTTTCTGCATCTTTCGATAATCTGGCACCAAGTTTTTAAAGACGGTTTGTTACGTCTAGAATTCCCTAGAATTAAATTTTAGATGCACATTCCTGTGCAAGCTTGGATCAATACATTTTTGTTTTATGTTTCATTTAAATCGACTACTATAAATAAAAAGGTCTTTATTAAATGCTCATATTTAGCAAAATTCTCGAGAATATTTAGTTGATGGTTACAAAGGTTCAAAGGGTCCGTTCTAGGATTTTCTTTTCTGTAATTTGAGCGAGTAAATGTAAAGATTGGAACGATCTTTCCTGTAAAAAAAAAAGTTGCTATAATAAAATATGCCTTACCTCTATGACACTCCACGTTTTTATAGTCACGTATGTCGACTTGCTCTTCCTCTGTACAACATAGTGGCATAAGATTTTTAAACTTTGTTTTCTGCACACAACTTCAATAAAAATATATTAAGAAAATTAAATTGTTACACTGAGTTTTGAAAAAATATAATCCAATGATGGCCGCGCAGACATTTTGAATTTCGATTTTATCTGGGCCACGTTTGCTAGATTTAAAGTTGGTACATACTCTGTTTCATAAATAAATAGCTTCGTTTGTTTATTATACAAACGATTTACTTGTCACCTATGAATATATCGTATGTGTCATGAAGTCTTGTTCAAACTGTCATCTACTTTAAATTTAGTAGAAAAAATCACACGTGAAAACATGCACCAAGTAAAAAATCACAACGTGGAAACATATTCCAAGTAAAGATTGCACGTGTAAACATGCATCAAGTAAAAAAATCACACGTGAAAACATGCACCAAGTAAAAAATCACACGTGGAAACATGCACCAAGTAAAAAATCACAACGTGGAAACATATTCCAAGTAAATATTGCACGTGGAAACATGCATCAAGTAAAAAAATCACACGTGAAAACATGTTCCAAGTAAAAATCAAACGTAGAAGTATGTACCAAGTAGAAATTACACGTGGAAACATGTACCAGGTAAAAATCACACGTGGAAACATGTTCCAAGTAAAAATCACATGTGGAAACATGCACCAAGTAAAAATCACACGTGGAAACCTGTACCAAGTAAAAATCACACGTGGAAACATGCACCAAGTAAAAATCAGAACCCGATTGCTTGAAGACAATTAGTAGAGAGCAGCAGGAGAATCCAATGTTCTTGTTTAGTAATGTAATAAATATAACAAAGACACCACTGTAAAGTTATCACGGATCCTGAGGTGTCTCCGCTAAAGTGTACAAATAAATATTGTAAATCTAAAGCCATTCTGAAAAGATTGAGACTTTCTTTTTATTAATAGCTGAGTCTTTCTGGTTTGTAACTTTTTCTCGTCTAAACACATCAATTAGGTGAGTTTAGCAAAAAATAAAGAAAAAAAATAAAAATTTAAACTAAGTATCTCTTTTAATACCTCATTTTCCACTTTTGTATCTACTTAGGCCTAACTTATACGAACATTTAGTTTTATGTTGTAATACATCATATATATGTGTATACATAATATATTAGAACGTTATCAACTTCAACTTTTACCGGGAAAGTAAAAGCTACAGTTTATTTCCAATCCATTGGTGTCACTTACTACTCAGAATTGGATCAAAAACATATTTCTAATTTGAAACTATTCGATTGTAAAAACTCACAGAAATACACGTCAGCAAAATGATCGAGTCTTAATATTTTCTGAAAATTATTCATTAGCTTCCAAATTGTAGTCCAATATCTGTATTTTCATTTTTGGATATTCACAGTAATATGAATGTAACAAAATATACGATCTCATTTGTAACCTTGTCTCTTTCAATGAACAAAAAGTTTTGTTACTTTCCTACAATCTATTGTTCTGCTCTATTTATAAAAATCAAATATACATTGATAACATTCAATCGTTAATGAATAGCATCACTTTGAATTACTGATGAAAAAAAAAGGATTCTGCTGATGAAGTTTATAATTTATAGATCAGGACGGTTTTAAAAATTATGCATTTTATATATTTTAGTAAAACTATAGGACTATGTTAGCGTGGCTGGCTGTTCGTCCAACTTTATACCCCTTGAAAATTCTCAGCACTTTCGGACAGTCAATCCAGTTATTCATTTAAAAAATGCCGTATACAGCTGACTGGTTTGCCCTCCTTCTGGTCAACCGTACGTGTACAGCTGATTGGTTTGCCCTCCTTCTAGTCAACCGTACTGAATTAGGAATGGTTGTGTCGTTTAGTCTATGTGTTACACATGGTGCTGTTCATGTTGAAAGTACGAAATGCCAGTAAAATTATGTGATAGTTACCTGCTCTAAAATCCTTTAGCGTTTTGAACATCCTACCTGCAGCTGTAGTTGTCAGAAAGATAACCATCAGAGTTAAAATGAGTGTGCACACATGCATATTCGTTATATATGAACCACTAGTTTAAACTGTGGTATAAAATCATTATTCTTCGTGCAGTAGAATGTGACCATGTAAATTACTAATCAAAATATCTAACTCGATAACACATTCAATCATAACATTAGAAATAGCTACGATATAAGTAAGAATTTTAAGTGTCTAATTGACCTCCGCATAATAAAAATAATGACTTGGTTTGTTTCAAATTTCGCGCAAAGCTACACGAGGGCTATCTGCGCTAGCCGTCCCTAATTTAGCAGTGTAAGACTAGAGGGAAGGCAGTTAGTCATCACCACGCACAGCCAACTCTTGGGCTACTCTTTTACCAACGAATAGTGGGATTGACCGTCACGTTATAACGCCCCCACG